CCGGGCCCGCGCGGCTCGCCCCCCGCCCCGCCCTGCCGGGGGGCTGTACTCACCCGTGTCGCCGGGTCCGGGGCTGTGGGGGCGGGTGTCCGGCCCCCACGCGGCGGCCGCACGTGTGGTGGGGCCCGGGTTGCGTCCCTCCTCAACCGCACGAGAAAAGCGCAGCTCACCGGGCGCAGCTTTGTTTGGGCTGCGGGGCGCGCAGGGGCCCTTCGCCGCTTCCTCCGCCCGGCTTCCTTTCGCTTCCCGGCAGGCTCGGGCAACTCGATCCACGCCAGGTGGGAGCCCTCAGCCCCGAGAGGCGCTCGGAACTCGGGCGGCGGAGGTTGGAGTCTTTCATCAAACGTGAAGGGTGAAGTTTGAAGACAGGCTGCGGGCTAAAAAGCTCCGGAGGCTGAGCCAGCAGCTGGTTTGGAAGGGCGGCTCGAGTTGCCTTTCATATCTTTTGGGTTGTCTGAAATTGCGTTAGGATTCCCGAATTCATGTGCTGTAAGACCGTTATTAGGTTTATGTACTGCTTTTGCGTTACTTAAGCATCTTAACTCCTTCTGTTGGGCTCTTTGGAAGCCCCAGTGCCCTCTTATTGTCTGCTCTAGCGACTTAGGATCGCACCAGCCACACTGCTTTGATTACTTCCTGGTAGGGCCCTGGTACCGCCGCTAGAGTCTTTGTTTATTAGCTTTGAGATGATCAATGGTAGCTTGAGGTGTAGTGTAAAATTTGAATTGTGCATTTCAAAACCCTTAAGTTCATTTGAAGAAATATAGGAAAATGGCAATGGTACAGTTTGGATGTGTGACATTTATCATTGTGGTTCGGAACTGGGAAGGTAGTTGAGAGAACGCTTTAACACTTTTGACAGGTTACTTCTTAAATGGTGATTATGTCCTTGGAGAAATACATAGGCAACGCCACAAAGAAAAAGGTACTCTAGGGTAAGGACTAGAAATAACTGCGGTTTCTTGGAGCTTTCAGAGGTTTGATGCTTTTTCGTGCCTTTGTAAAGTCAGATGATCTTTTTCTGCATGATGCCTTTAAAGATTAACTGGTTAAATTGGTTTTACAGTGCAGTATTGCAGTTTTTTTATGAAGGTGCAGAAACTTGTACAAATTAGCTTTCACCTACAAATTTCTCTTCCACAGTGAATGTTGAGTATGGAAAAATAAATACGGTGTAGCAAATCGTTTTACAAATTGGTTGGGGGTGCATTAGCTATAATTGTAGCTATAGCTGTCGTGCTATAACCTAACTTTTAATCCTCCCCCCAACCCGCCCCAGAGATTGAAAAACAAAGGACCAAAGTAAACACTAGGAAAAGCTTATCACTTGAGGAATGGGGCTCTTGCTCATCTGTAGTAAACTTCAGGGGTACAAAGTGGACAGCACACTTCTGTTTTTTTCGAGGTAAAATCACATCGAATTTAAAGATGGCCTCGCCGAGCATATGCATCTAAAAAAGAGGGACGCCTGGGTGGCTCAGTTGTTGAAGTGTCTGACTCTTGGTTCCAGCTCAGGTCATGAACGGTTCATGGGATCAAGCCCTGTGTTGGCCTCTGTGCTGACAGCACGAAGCCTGCTTGGGATTCTCACTCTCTCTCACTCTCTCTGCTCCAGTCACCCATCCCTGCCCCCCCCCCTCCCCTGTGCTTGTGGGCGTGCTCTCTATATCTCAAAATAAATAAACATTAAAGAAATTATAAAGAGGAAAGAGCTTATGCAAGTGGCAGATAGCCTGTTGTGAGTCAGTCTTGGCCTTTGTCAGTCAGGGAGTCCACTTGACTGTGGAAGTAAGTGCAGAAAAATGAGTATCTCTTGAGGAACTGAAGTTAAAATGGAGCATAACTAACAGACTTGTGCTGATAACAAGAACAAAGTATTATGTGTAGCCTTAAATGTGGGGTGATTTCTCTCCCACGAGGAGGATGGCGGTCTTTGCATCTTGAAACAAAATTTGTCTCTGACATTGCTTCACAAGGGTGGTTCTAGTCACATGCTTGGATTTCTAGAATCAATAAAGCTAGATTCACAACTTTATGTTTTTTTTCCTTCTGTTCATGTTTTGTGAATTGAACCCGTTTTGTATGGGCCTCCCATTTTAACCTGTTGTCATCCATTTGTTGATATAATCTTCTGTTACTGTATTGAGCTTGATCTTGTTCTTGCCTGCCTGTTTCAGTGATTAAATGATTAGTAAATCTGTGAGTCCTTAACTAATTCATCATCTTGGAGTGTTATGTATTCTGGTATTTATTCTCTAACTCTGGAATTTATTTTCTTTCTTTCTTTTTTTTTTTTTTTTTTTTTTTTTTTTTTTTTTGGTAGGGGACCAAAAGGGTAGCCAGTGTGTTGAATAATGCTGTGACTGAGTATTGAGTCCGATTACATTCTTATTAAGGAGGGAAAAAAAATCCCTGTTTTGGCACTGGGACAATAAAAGTAATGCCCTCGCCTTGTTTTCTTTGGGAGCTTGCAATTACACCACAGTGAAACAGCCTTAAGGCAGCCAAGCAAATTGCAAAAGGCCAACATCCTAGGCTCTGTTAGCTAGCAGTACATCCTTGGACAAGTAGTTCTTTTTCTTTTGAGCATCACTTTGATTATTTCATCTGTAAAAAAAAAAGGGGGGGGTAATACTTCACATCTACTTCACAGGTTGCTGCTAGGATGAACAAGATAATTTTTCATGAAAGTGTTGGGAAACTCCTGTACACTAGGCAAGTAATAGGTGGTATTACAGCCAGAACATCTTTATAAATAGGAGTCTGCATACTTAAATATCTAAAGCCCCTTAAATAGGGCCTAGGACAGACTGGCTTTATGCTGAATTACGCTTTGCAAGGAGATATCTTACTCAACAAGATTAGGGTGTGTAAGAAGTAATTATATTTCAGCATTAACTTGAGCTTCTTATTTATGGAATAAGGCACTGTATGTTAGGTTATATAATTGTATACTACAGTGGTTCTCAAACTTTTTCTTCTTGGGACCCCTATATACTTAAAAACTACTGAAACCTCAGCTTTTGTATGGCTTGTATCTATTGATATTTTCTGTACTAGATATTAAAACAAAATTTAAATATATTTTAGTAAGTCATTTACAAATAACAGTAATAAACCCATTACCTGTTAATAGAAACAATAGTTTACATAAAATAACTGTACTTTTCAAAACAAAGATTTAATAAGGAGAGTGGCATTATTTTACATTTCTGCAGCTCTTATTATTGTCTAGCATAATAGGAGACAGCTGCATTTTCGTATCTGCTTCTGCATTCAGTCTCCTGAGATACCACACATCATATAGCCTCTGGAAAACTCCACTGTATGCTCGTGAGAGAATGAGGGTAAACAATAAAAGTAACATCTTATTATTATTTATGAAAATGGTTTGACTTCACTATACCCCTGACAGGGTTTTGGAAACTCTCAGGGGTCCAGGACCACACTTTGAGAATGCACTAGTAATATAACTATACTAACCGTGAAGGACAATTGCTCTAATAAAAAGCTTTAAAATATTAGATAAATCCTTAAGGCTAGCCACATTTATGTCTTTGTGGAGACTTACAGGGTTTTTCAAATATATTTGCTGGGAACGGATCCAGTTCTGTTGGGGTCCAGTTGTCCTGTCCTCTCAAAAAAGTTACAGTCTAATCTAGTTGGTGAGAGACAGGAAGCTAACAGGTTAGAAGATAAATCCATGTTGTGGTTTAAGGTAAATGTTGAAAATAGCAATTTCCTAATAAGGTAAAGGCTGATTTATGTCTAATCTTTGCTAAGGGCATTTCATTTTAAGTGAAAAAGTTTTAAATAAAAACTAGGACATTCTCTCAAGATCTTTGTTACGTGCACATACCAGATGTTATTTTCAGAAGCTGGAGGCTTGGGCATTTCTTACTTTTGTGGGTAAAATGACTGAACAAGTGGTAAAATACAGGAGAGAAAACACAAATTGTTTAAAAAGGTGCCCTAAACACAACTGTTTTAATAACTAAAGCCAAAGAATAAGCATTTGGACCTAAGGCGTTTGGATTAAATAAAATAGCCAGGTAAATTGGAGAAATTTTAATAGCATAGTCATGAGAATTTTCCCTGATTAATTCTTCAAAGAGCTGAGAATACCTCTTTAAGTTTCCAGTACACAGTTGCCCTCACATTATTCTACCCAAGAAAACTAAGTGTAAATGAAGTGAGTGTTCTCCAATTGGGGGTGGACATTAGAGATACCCCCACCCGTTTTGAAGATCCGTTTAGTAAGAATAGGCACTAATTATTGAGTCCTTGACAGTGGTAATAAATTTGTGATTTTTAGTAAAGCTTGTGATAAATGTGAGAAATTACCTTGATCTGGTGATGGGTTATCTTGTGTCATATTTCTCTTACAACCTTCATTTAAAGAAGACTCTTGGATGCCCAGTAGACTAAATTTTCTAGATAGGATCAGTCATTTGTTCATACTTGAGTCGAATGTATTGTCTGCTTTTGGTAACACTGTTTGAAGTACTTATTAGGTGCTTAGCATGTATATAAGACGCTCAGTAAATATTTGCTTAATGAATGAAGGAATTTCTTCAACTTAAGATCATGGCTGGAATGGCCTTAAACTTTATGTTGAAAATAAATGCAGAGTGAACTTCTCCCCAGAATGCTTTCACCAGACCTCACTCCCAATATTTTAGTTTGTAAGGTATACTTTGTCTGGGTTATGAGCAAATGGCCTTCTGCAATGTTGTTGCCACAATGAATTTGTATTCTTTTGGCATTCTGTGTTTATAGATGGGCAGGTGGACATTTTAGTGTCAGTGTGGTTGGGGCAGTTCAAAATCAGTGGACAGGTGATGCTTTTCACATTAATTCTAGAGGCTAACATTTGAATTTTATTTATTTTTTTTTTATTTTTTTTTTCAACGTTTATTTATTTTTGGGACAGAGAGAGACAGAGCATGAACGGGGGAGGGGCAGAGAGAGAGGGAGACACAGAATCGGAAACAGGCTCCAGGCTCTGAGCCATCAGCCCGGAGCCCGACGCGGGGCTCGAACTCACGGACCGCGAGATCGTGACCTGGCTGAAGTCGGACGCTTAACCGACTGCGCCACCCAGGCGCCCTAACATTTGAATTTTATATACTTCTCTGAAGAACTTAAACTTTGTTGGTAATATTTGTAAGCTTAAGTCAAATGTAATTGTCTTTCGAGTTTTTCTAGCAGGATTGCCCCTCACCCCCAGAACCTTAAACCAGCCTTAGCAAAGTCTCTAAACAATTGGTAGTAGATGTGAAATACCTAGAATCTAGAGTGTGCTTTGTGTATTTGCTTGGAGAGGCTGCAGTCTGGGCATTGAGCCTAACGTTTTGCTGTTGTGAAGTTTTGACACATTGATCAGAAGTTATTTTCTAAATAGTATTCTTAGTAGTATACAAAGAATATCCTTCATGTCCTAAGCAGAAGAAAGGATAGGGTTAAGAGGAGAATGTGAACTCTTTGTTTCGGTTTCCCGTTATTCCTTTATTCTCAAAATAATTCCTTCTCATCATTATTTGCTTTTACAGCATTAGCCTTAGGCCTTTATAACATCCTACTTTTTAAATCATTTTAATATATGCAATTTCCTTCTTTACTGGAATTTAATAGATTCATTTTTGGATTGTTGAAACTAGATTTAAAAATACTTACATTTGTAGTATTTGTAGCTCAGTAAGCAGGAGAGTAAGTAGTTTAGTTTGAGCTCAGTGAGTAATTTAAATTCCTGTTTTAAAAATTTAATTGAGTCTCTCTTCTATCAGGGAGTAATTTACATGTACATTTCCCCCAACTTTGTTTTTTTTC